GTTAGGAATGTATAAACTGAGGAAACAAGGGCAGAGAAAAGAACAAGAATGTTTTCTTTTTAAGTAAGAATGAGAAACAGGGCGAGATGAAGTTGGTGGAAAGCCTTCAAGGCTAAGCAGGTAAGTTTGGAATTAATTTGATAAGCAACAGGGAACTGTAATACATTCTTTTTTTTCTTCTTTTTTTTTTAAGCTGAGCCATCCTGCTACCTATTGGCAGCTTAGTGGCAGCTCAGCTTGGGCCGGGCATCGAACCGCTGTTGCTCAGAGCTTAAACTCCTGAGCGAGCTCTTAACCAACTGAGCCACTCAGCCGGCCCTTGTAATACATTCTTAAATGGGAAGGTGGCAATCTTAAAATATGGTCTTTAAACATTCAAACTTGGTTCCAAGGTACTGCCTTTGGTCACACGTTTTTGCCAAACAACTGGGGGGAATAATCATTATCCTTTATGTGTGCTTTATATATGCTTTTATCAAAAAGAGAAACTGACTAAACAAACAAAAATCTTTATATAAGGGGTGATTATATTGGGGGGGGCTTTCAAATATAAATGCTTGTGAATATTAAATGCTACTACACATTTTAATAAGAATCATAGAACTTCACAGCAAGAAGGGATGCTGGAGATACGGTAATCGTTTAGTAACAACCTCCTTATTTTCACAATGAATTAAATTGAGACTCAAGAACTAAACTTGCCTACTGTTATATATAAGCTAGTGGGAGAGTCAATATTAAAACTCAGATTTTCTAGGCAGCAAAATAAAGCTGTGCTGCCCAATATTGTAGCTACTAACAATATCTGGTTATTTAAACTGGTTAAAATTAAATACAATTTTAAATTTCAGTTCCTTGGGCACGACAGTCACATTTTCTAGTGCTCCATGCCACACATGGTTAATGGCTACCATATCTGATAGTGCAGAAAGAGTACAGCAGGTCCTCAAATAACATCGTTTGGTTCAATGTCATTTTGTTGATGAGGTGCTGTAGGAACTAAATTCCTGTTAATATCAATTCGCCTATGGTAAAATTGGTTTTGCTGTACGTCATTTTCTTTAAAGCTGCAGAACCTATCAATGACTTTAAGTGAAGACTTACTGTATTTCTTCCATCACTGTAGAAAGTTTAACTGGACAGCATGATCTAAAGAATAAGCTTCAGAGTCAGACAGACCTAGTCTGAATTCTACTTACTAGCAGTGTGATCCTAGACAAGTTAATTTCTCTATACCCCCATTTAGGGAGGCAGAGGGAAAGCAGGGGGCTAAAAATACCTACCTCACAAAGTATACTTGATGATAATGTGAAATAACACGAAAAGCCCCTTTACACTGTCAGGCACATAACAGGCAATAAACACTTCCCTTCTGGATCCTTTTTTCTTTCTATTCCTCTATATAACCTCCTTATAAAAAGATACACACATAATAATTCACCCAAATTAATATCTTCCCCTCATTATAATCCACAGTACCTAATTTTCATTCTGTTCCTGCCAATTTCTTCAAATACTTGCACCTCTCTTCTAGTGTTTCTACTGAGGAATAATGAAATGAAGAATGATTGTAGGGGAACGCTGCCACTAACAAAATGGAAGAGAATGGAATAAAATGTCCCCTCTGTTTTCCATCCTGTTTTAAATATTATTATCTGACTGATCATGCAAAGGAAAAGAAATACATTGGGTTGTGGGAAAAGTCATGACACATTTTTGCAACGAAAAACACAGAAAAAATACGTCATGACTTTTCCGACAACCCAGTATTATACTGTTTCTACATACTGTGCTTTCACAGTAATAGAGGAGATTCCACAGTACTTCTATATTATATTACTTCTCATCATCTGTACTACTAATTGAATACTAAATGAAGAAATAACAACTTCCCCCTACAGCACTTTCCTGGGAAACAACAGAAAGGATTTCAGAATGTTAAACCAATCTTCAAGGCTTCCTGGCTTAATCTAGTGAACTGACAAATTTAACAAATCTATAAAAAACTTTAGAGCGGGCTGGCCGAGTGGCACATTGGTTAAGAGTTGGCTTGGGACTCCGGATCTGAGCAGCAGGGCCGCCAGTTCGGGTCCCACATGAGGGCCAGTGACGCTGCGCCCTCTACAGCTAAGATGGTGAACAATAGCTCGATCTGGAGCTGGGCTGCTATGAGTCGCCGGCGACAGCATAGGCTGCAGTGAAGCTGCAGTGGGCTACGTAAAGCTACCATGAGTGGCTGGGAAGCCGGCATGAGCGGCTGACAGCCAGCTTGAGTGGCTAGCAGCCAGCATGTGCTGCCAAGAACCGCCGTGAGTGACCATCCAGTGGCTGGCGACCAATCTGCTTCACCAGGGAAGAGAGCAATGATAATACCTACACAGGCCAGTGAAGCGTTGTCCTCCACAGCTAGACTGAAGAACAAACGGACAGCAACTTGTCTGTTCCCTTTCCCCGATTCCCCAACGCTGTTCCCCTCCCCCCAATTCCCCAATAAAATCTTAAAAACAAAACAAACAAACAAAAAACTTCATAGCATGCATATTCGTACCCAGGAAAATACCAAAATTCAACTCAGTTTGTAACTAGTGAATTCCTGCCATTACTAAATTTTATTTAGGAACAATTCATATTGAGCCACTCAAAGTCACATAAATTTGCCATTTCTAGTGAGGTTACCAATTTTACATTTCTAATAACTAACAAAAATTTAAAGAAGAACTTTTAAACATTCGTCTTGAAACATACACCAAACAAGATTTCTACATATTCTGTAAAGCTTTCTTACTGTTTAAAACTGATCACATTAACTCTCAGAGGGGAAAACCAAAAGTCCTCTCAATAACAGTGTCTCCTTGAAGTTACCTGGTAGTCTCTTAAAGATAATTTACTCAAAAACATGACAACTGATCCCCCTTATAGAGTTTAGCATAAGTCATAAATACTAAATAGATAACACTGCACACTGTACTGTCCTTTACAACTCAAATTAATTATGTTTAATAGACAAAACTAAAATATTTTGAACATACAAATCACAGAGTTTAATAATCTATGGGGGGGGTCACATACGTTAAAAATTTTTTTTAGGTTTTTATTACTATCCCACATACAGTATTTGATACATTAAAAAAAAAGTTAGGCTTCTATGCCTGAACTTAGGAAATCTAATTTGTGAGACTCCAGTATTTTAAAGTCCTTCAATAATAATGAAGTGTACATTGGTCACAGAAGAATAGTTCAAATGTATTTTCCTGAGGCTGCATTCTGAGTACATCTGACCCAGAAAGTATTTTTAGCAAGTGTGTTCAATCAAAGCTGGTTTTATGCTTAGCCTAAATTAGAAATTGGGTGTCACAAATTTAAAGTAACAAAGTTACTAGGTACATTTTAAAAGAGACTCAATTAGAATATAAGGAAAAAACCACAAGTTTGAAACAATTCAATACACACAACCCAGAAGCCAAGCAGGTTAGAACGCAGGCAATAAAGTCACATCCTCATCCTTTTCTGCTTTTGAGGAACCTGTGATTTTCTAACTTAATAAACTTTAATATTCATTAAAAACTACAAAATAGTGATGGCTCCTGGTTAAAACATGGTTTCAAAATCTCTTGCCAAATGTTTAAATCAAATGAGTTAAATAATTAATATTCCCATGTACAAAAAAGGCCATGTTTCTCTTCTTATAAACCACTCAAGATCATATTATGGGACCATGTATATGTTTCAATGCAAAATATTAACAAAGACATGTGTGCCATTAAAAAAATACACATAAAAATAGCTTTTGTGTTAATTGGAGCATAAATTTATTCTGACAAAGAATGGTGGGGGGGCCACAAAATGATTGCACTCTTTTATTATGAGTTAACAAAGTTCTGTATATCACACAAACTTCTGCTTACAAAAAAGGTCTTTTTTAAAAAGGTTGAATTTATATTCATCAAAATATATCAAGATTTAGCTGATATAGCTAGCCCTATTCCATTAAGCACACTCTGTGCTCTGAATAGTTATTTATTTTAAGGTCACCTCCCTCCTCCCCATAAAAAATGAAAAATAATTTTTTCTGGCAGGTTAAGGTTCAAATATCAGGATAAAAAAACGCCCTGGCTTTTACTGCTCTACAGTCTTCCTTTCTACTCATATCGTCTTTTACAAGTCAAATACACTGGCTTTCTAGGGTTTTCTCCCCCATAAACATGTTTTCAACTGTATTGTTTTAACTGGGCCCAAGATCTGGTCACATAAACCTAGCATTACTCCAATTTCTTGATTCGAAAAGCAGTTGGTATATTGCATATATACAAGTTCTCCTAGAGCAAGCGCCTGAAAATCCTACCAAGTCGTCCTGGTATATAGTCACCATGTAATGCAACCCCAGACAGAAAGTCTCTCACTCTAAGTTTCTCGGAAACATGTAAACATATTATCTGTGCAATTGTAAACTGTTCCATTTTAAGGAAACCCTGGGAAATGCATTAGTACGTCTATTTAGCTACATCTCAACTTTTTTTGGTCCAACTACAGATTCTTAAATACAAGTAGAATACTTAAATACCGGTAGGATCGTTAAGAGGCTCAAAACTTCAATGGTAGGAATAGTCTGCCCATGCAGCATGCAGGAAGCGCTCAAATAAGCCAATTTAAAAAGAAAACAAAAAAGGAATCCTACCAGCAATGGAAAACTCAGAAGATTCTAAAACCTTACCTAGAGTTTAGGTACCGTGGAACATTCCATCTCCGCACCTATTCCATCCCTTCTCCTTTCGCTCACCCATAACAGAGATTCCAACTATAACCCCCAGGAGCTCCGAGAGCAGGGATCCTGGGAAGAAGGGGATTGCGGGGCGAACGTCATTTTTGTCCTTCCTTTTAGATCAGCCTTGTACCTCCGGCTTGCCCTACCTGGCTCGCCTCCCACCACACACGCCCCAGGTAACATCCTCGCGTACAACGTGCAGGGCGAGGAAGCCAGCGGGGACCCGAGAGCCTCTTACCTTCGTATCACTGCCGCGTCCTCTCGGCTGAAGAAAAGCCTCCAGGCCCGGGCGCGCCGGGGAGAAGCGCGGCCGCCGCGCCACTCCCGGGGACTCCCTCAGCGACCCCCCAGCAGCCGCCGCCGCAGCGGCCGCGCCACGGCCGGGAGACGCCAGCACCACCTCATACTGCGGAGCTGCCGCGGGGCGACGCGAAGGAGGCGGGTGACTCGCCCGCGCTCCCACCTCCCTGCGGGAATGAGATAATCCACACACCCCAAAAGTGCCGTGGGGGAGGGGAGCCCCGGGACTGGGGGCCTGGCCCCCAAACTCCGACCCTTCAGCCAAAGCCAAGTCTCTCTCCTCCCCGGCTCAGGCCCCGAATTTAGCCCCTAGGAACCCAGGAGTCCTGAGAGAACAATGTGGGGGGGCCGCGAGGAGCGGAAAAGCGCGCAGCGCGGCGTGAGCGGGCGGGTAATCCCGGGCAGCGTTTGTGTGTGAGAGTGCAAGAGGCGCTCGAGCCCCCGCCCCCTTCCCCTCCTCCTCTTCCTTCTCCTCCTCCGTCTCCTCCTCCTGCCTCAAGCACACCCCGTCTCCCAGGCCACAGCATAGCAACCGAACATGACGGCTGCGCAGACGCCGCCAGTCAGCGGCCCGGAGCAGCGGCGGCAGCAACTGGAGGCGATCTCGCGAGAGGTGAGGCCAAACCCCTTGCCCACTAGCGCAGACTGGAGAGGTTGCACCAGCCAGAGCGCCGGGGGACACGCAGGTGCGAGGGAGGCCGGACCTGGGTAGGTCGGGGAGCTGGGAGGAGGAGGCGGGGCGCTGTGGCTCCGCCCCATGGCGCCGCTGCGATTGGTTACTTGAACATCGACCCCTGCTGGACCTACTGACCTAAGGGACCCGACCGAGGGGAACGAAACCTAAGTTTTAAAAGGAAAAACCAGACCTATTGACCCAGGTCGTCTCAACTTCAGTGCTAAAAAAGCATATAGATTTTAACATGCAGTTTTGAATCATTTCCTCTCCTAAATATAGATTCTAAAACAAAGGACAAACGTTCATTTATACTATTCGGATGCCTTCTGTGTGCCAGGAACCGTGTGCTTTTAAAAATTGAATTAATTCATTCTAATAAAGCATATGAATTTGGTGTTACCACGGCAGGGTTTTTACCCGGTGCATGCTAATATATTATTGATGATACAAACTTATCGGTGATAAAACAAATGCTTACAGGCTGGGTAATCTCAGCTGAAATGATGGGAGGTGGGATTTGGGAACCATCACACTTCCTTTTGCCTTCATTTTTTGGTGTGTGTCAGTGCACTTTCCTGTCGCCTGGCGCTTTCTTGCTTTTCCTTGCTCTTAGCTTCAGCACCTCACCAGAGCTGGCCTTCACACAAGCATTCTTTCAGCAATCATTGTTCCTCCAAGCAGACAAAATGCCTATTTATTACTAATTAGTGGTTGCAAGATGAAATCTTGCAAATTTATACAATCTGTGAAAGACAACAATTTCTATTGACCCTCTTCTCCCTCGCACCCCCATTCAGTTTTTCCATTAAAAAGATAACAACTTGACAGTCCATATTTTTCCTGCTTACCTCTTCTACTTAATTTCCTTTCCAGAGCTTCGTTCCAGCCAGTGCTCATTCATCCTTCCTTAAATATGCTTTCCTGCCTCTGCCTCTCCGTTTTCTATGCCTTTGTTCATGCTGTTCCTCCCACTGAAATGCTCTTCACTTCATCTTCATCTATCAACCACAGATCACATGGAACTTCCACTAGAAGTAAGAAATAACTTCTTCCTCCTTTGACATTGATAGTTCTAGGTGTATACCTCCCTTTTTCTTTTCGCAATGTACATTTTATTATACAATACTATCCCTGTGGAGTCTTGTTGCCATTACTACATGGTAAGGTCCTTGAGGGCCAGGATCTTGTCTTAGTCATCTTTGTATCCTCTATAATGCCTGATTACACTGCCTGTTGTCAAAAAAGTTTGTTGAAAGAATGAAATGTTTAAATCTCTAATTGGTGGGATTTCAGGAAGTTACTTAGGATGGAGCAAGCTCTTCCTCAGCTTCAAATCTGATAGGTTGCTGTGTCTCTGGGTGATACTGATCTGGTCTATATTTGTCCTTGTTGATGCCTTGTAGAGCCTTGTCGCTGGTTCCCCAATGAACCTTCTTATCTCCAGACCTTTCCCCTCCAGCCCATTCCTCCCACCCCTATCCATAAATCACAGTGACCTTTTATACAAATACAAACCTGAGTTGTATTTGTAAATAAATATATCTGGTGTCTCAACATTGGAGGGGCTAGAGGGGGATGCCCTTTGTTTTGGGAAACTCCACAGATGAGCCCTTTAGATAAACAAATATAAGCCTCATATCCATCCACTATACTTTAGGAAAACTGTGAAGTCACTTTTTAAAACTTGAGATATAATTCACGTATCATAAATTCACCCATTTTAAGTGTACAACTCAATGCTTTTTAGTATATTTGCAAAGCTATGCAGCCATCCCCACTATCTAATTCCAGAACATGTTCATCCGCCCATAAAAAGAGATCTGTACCCATTAGTGGTCACTCTCTATTCTCCTTTTCCCCCTAGCATCTGACAACCACAAATTTACTTTCTGTCTCTATGGATTTGCCTACTCTATTCAGGATAGTTCATATAAATGGAATCATACATATTGCAAATTCTTTACAAAAGTATGTAAATTTTGCTCTTATTTAAATTATAATTAAAAAATTAATATATGCCTATTCTGGATCATTTTGATAACTACCTTGTAATTAAACACTGCCACTTCATTTTACATTTGGCACCAAAAACTATAATTTTCTTGGGCTAATGAGAAAAGAATAGAATAGTACTTATCATGGAGACGATAGCATTCTGTCTAAGTGAAGGTCAAGTGTCCTCATGGTACACTGTACAAAAGTTGCACAGAAATTCAAACAGAGAAGAATGTTGGGATAATTAAGTCGCTTATAAGCATGCCTTAAAAAGCCTGTATAATAGCAGTGAGTTCCATATTCTCATTGCAAAGGACAATTTAATTTCAGCAAAACAGCATCATTCACCACATTACATAATAATATTAATTGAATTTTTAATTCTGTTATTTTAATTTGCAAAATTGTTTCAGTTTTCTAGATGTAGAAGAGCTATGAGAATAAAATTTTATGCCTAATCTTATGTGTACACTTGATTAAGAAACATAATTTAAGTAATTTAATTTAACATTTGAGAGTTAGCAAAACTTTTTTTTGTTATTCATTGAAAAGTGGCCTCAAACACTACTAGACATGGGTAGACACTGCTATTGACTGATTTTTTCCCCCTTGTCTGCAGCCTGCCTTTGGCTGTGCTTCAAGAGAATAAGAGCAAGGATGTGTCCACACTTGGACTGTGGTGGCAGGGAAGGACTTGCCTTTTTGCACCGTGTGGTTGATGTTAGGACCTCTCCTAACCTTGGGTAGCTACAGCCAAAAGGAAATAGGCATTTGTTCTAGCCTGTGTAGCCAAGCCAGGCTGCCTGGGCCTTGACAGTGACCTCTGGCAGCAACTAGGCAGGAGAGAAGGAGCTTTGACCAGGCACTGTGGCTGACTAACCAGCCACCCCACAACCCTATCAGCAACTTGGAAGGACCCCTTTGGAAGAAATGAGTAACACTTGGGTTACTGGGGCGATCTAGGGAGGAGAGACCCAAGGGAAAGCTGGACTCAGCTTGCTACGTAGAGCTAAGGAGAGTGGTATGAATTTTAACATTAAAAAAACACATGACTTAAGGTGACTTGATTTTGTTGCCTAAACAGGTGAGGTAGGACCTATAAAGGTACACAGGCTTTCAAACACCTAGTCTCTGACATGTGACCTTAATTGGATATCTGTCTGCCTTAGCTGCCCAATTAAGGGAAAAACTTATCTTTTTGCCTGTCTAGAGTCTTCAGACATAACTTAAAGCAAAGAAAAACAAAACAAACAAATTTAAAGAGTTTATACCTTTAAACAAGTCATATATTTTTCCACATGGCAGAATTCTGTGGCTTGGGCTTCCTTTAATCACAGAGCTGCTTTAAAAATACTTAAATATATATGTATATATCTATAGATAGATAGATAGATAGACAGATACATATATTTTTTAATATTTTTGTTTTTTAATTAGGTAGCATATAGCTCTGAAGCAGTTGGCCCAGATTTGGTCACTCTGTCAACATGGCCCTCTCCCTCTTCACTTGCCAGCAAATCTTTTCCTTCCTTCCTTCCTTCCTTCCTTCCTTCCTTCCTTCCTTCCTTCCTTCCTTCCTTCCTTCCTTCCTTCCCATAGCAGCATAAGACCCAAGTTAGCAATTCCTGGAATCAAGAACTATACAGAAAATTTTAAAAATCAAAGCCTTCCTCTTACTCCCACTTTCACTCCTCAAAAGTAAGCACTATTTACAACTCCTTGTGTATACTTCCAGAATTTTCTCTGTATATGTAAGCTAATATATATCTTTTTTCCCCCTACATACAAGGGATTATACCACATATACTATGTTTCACCTGGAAATGTCCTTAACAAAACAGATATATATATATATATGTATATATATATATATATATATATATCATACTTTCTAAAGGCTGTGCCATAATGTATTTAAACTTCTCTAATAAATGCACATTTAGCCAGTTTCCAGTTCTTTGCTATTACATACAATGCTGGAAAGAACATTTTCATCATAAAGCTTTGTACACATAACTAAGAATTTCTTTAAGATAAATTTCTGGAAATGGAATTGCTAGATTGAAATGTATGGGCACATTAAATTTTGATAAATGTTGCCAAACTGACTACTAATTGCACCCAACAACTATGTGTGAGTTACTATTATCTACCTCTCCCTTATCATCTCTGGGATTTGTGTTTTCCACAATCAGAAAAAAATGTATTTTCTTCTAGTACTTTTATTATATTTAATTTTTTTCAAAGATTTTATTATTGGGGAATTGGGGGAGGGGAACAGCATTGGGGAATCGGGGAAGGGGAACAGACCAGTTGCTGTCCTTTTGTTCTTCAGTATAGTTGTGGAAGACGTCCCTTCACTGGCCCATGTTGGTATTATCATTGCGCTCTTCCTGGGTGGAAGAGGCAGTCACTGGCTGGCCATTGGATGGCAGCTCACGAAAGCTCACGCCTGCTGCCAACCAGCCCCACTGCACCCTATGCCATCACCAGTGACTCATGGCATCCCAGCTCCAGGTCGAGCTGTTGTTCACCATCTTAGCTGTAGAGGGCGCAGCGTCACTGGCTCTCATGAGGGATCCGAACCAGGGCTCTGCTGCTCAGAGCTGGTGTCCCAAGTCAACTCGTAACCAACGCACCACTCGGCCGGCCCTTCTTCTAGTACTTTTAGATTTTTTTTTTTTAATTACTTAATCTGGGCCAACCTAGTGGAGCATTGGTTAAGAGCTGGCTTGGGATGCCAGAGGGCTCCAGTTCAGATCCCACATATGAGGGCCAGTGACACTGCCCTCTACAGCTAAGATGCTGAACAACAGCTTAACCTGGAGCTGGGCTGCCGTGAGTGCCGATGACAGCATAGGCTGCAGCCTCTGCTGCAGTGGGTTGCCATGGGCTACCATGTGTAGCCAACAGCCACCGTGAGTGGCCATCCAGAAGCTGGCAACTGATGTGCCTCGCCAGGGAAGAGTGCAATGATGGTGCCATCTTGGGCCAGTGAAGCAACGTCCTCCACAACTAGACTGAAGAACAAAAGGACAGCAACTTGTCTGTTCCCCTTCCCCCAATTCCCAGCCGTGTTCCCATCCCCCAATTCCTCCAATAAAAATCTTTAAAAAAAAACCAAAAAAACTTAATCTATGACCCATCTGGAAATAATGCTGGTGTAAGAAGATAGGGATCCAGCTTTATTATTTTTATTAATGACTATGCATTTGTCCAATATTGAATAATTCGTCACATACACACACACACACACACACACACACACACACACACACACAATTCTTTGCTAAATTGCTTTCATCAGATACTAAATTCTAAATTTTGATTTGGGAATTTTTTAGTTTATTCCATAGAGCTATCTATTTCATCTCTCTATTTGTTTCCTATTGCTGCTGTAACAAATTACTTCAACTTTAATGACTTAAAACAACACAAATTTATTGTATTGCAGTTCTGGACATAAAATGGATTGACAGGCTTTGTTCTTCTGGAGGTTCTAGGGAGAATCTTTCCTTGTCTTTTCCAGCTTCTAGAGGCCACCTGCATTACTTGGCTCACGGCCCCTCCCTCCATCTTCAAAACCAGCTGCCTAGCATCTTCAAATCTCTCTGTCTTATAACTCTGTCTCCCATGGTCCTCTTACCTCTCTCTTATAAGGACCCTTGTGATTACATTGGGCCCACCCACAGAATCCACGATAATCTTCCTATCTCAAGATCCTTAATTTAATCACATCTGCAAAGTCCCTTTTGCCAGGCCAGATACCATATTCACATAATCACCCCATGGATGAGGATGTGAACATTTTATGTGCCACCAAACTTTTTAGCTACCAGAATTTCTAACAAATTTTACTCTCTGAAAGAGTTAATTCCTCCTAATCATTTTCTTTTTCCAAGATGAATATGTTTTTAATTATGAACTTAAAATATGAGCACATGACTGTGACTGAAATGTTAAATTATATCAACAGCATATATGGTGTGCTTAGTGTAGGATCTATATAGTATCAGAAAAAAAAATTATCTGTAGATAT